TGGGCAGTGGTTTAACCCACTGTGCTGCAGCACCAGCCCTGAGCCAGCACTTCTAACCCTTCTGAGCCAAGGTGGCAGCAACACAGCACAGATTCTGCAGGGCTCAGGGGGACTGGGCCTCCCTCCACTCCCTGGTTCCCAGACTTGTGTTCTAGCTATCACAGACACATCTATCAGCTCCCAGTGCATCCAGGAGAAAGATTCTCCAACCCCACAGCTGTTATTCCCGCCGCTGTCACAGCTGAGCCGTCTGCGTGTCAGGGAAGCACTAGCAGGGCCCAGGAGAGCAGCTGGGTCACCCTGTCTACCGATCGCCGACAGCCTCCTTGGCAATGGATGCTCTCTGGTGAGCATTAATGAGGCAAAAAGACCCAAAGCCTTTGTGCACGCTTCCGTGAGCTCATCCACGCACTGCTTGCCTGCCCTCCAAGCCCTTGCCTGACAGCTCAGCCAGCTAGCCCTGCACAGCAGGCAGGGTGCACCTGCACCTTGGGCCACTTCCCCCTTGCAGGAGGCTGAAAAGCAGTTATTGTCTGTTCCTAACTAGCACCAATATAAGACGTCATCTGCCTGTAGATGAGACCCTCTCTATCACAACATCGTAGCAAACTTCAACAGAGATGGTGACAGGAGACCAGATGCTTAGGTAATTCACCTGTTCCTCGGCCCCTAAATGCACCATCACCTGTTAGATTGCTGCTGTGCTTGGCTGACCTGATGCCTCCGTGGCATCGCGTGGTCCTTCAAAGAAACCCAGGCTCTTCAACCCGTGGATCTGGGCTGTGAGCAGTCTTAGGTCATTCCCCACTGCAGTAGTTGATGTCATCTCTCTGGCCTTCCACTCCTGAGTTTCTTGCACTTACAGAAACTAAGCATGGCCACAGTCAGCTCTCTTTCTCACCCCACTCATACAACCATCTCTGAGCCGTTGACTTGGATTCCGATAGCCCAGGTCACCCGGATGGCCACTCCAGCTTTGCCCCCTTCCCTCTCGGGACCCACTGGCCGCCTGGCCCTTGCCATTTCATTGACTTCCACTGGCACAAGGGACTCGATCTCCCCGCCCTCTCCTGTCACGCAGCCAGGTCTTCCGCTGCACTCCTCCAAGGTGCCAAAGTTCCCTGGGAGCCTTTTCTTTCTGTCAGTGAAGGGAGTGTTCTCTGCGCCATTCCAGGGAACAGAGGCAAGAGGTGGGACCTAGGGTCTTAGCATTCTCACATTCACGCCTCTCTGAGCCTTTCGTTCCTTTCCCCCTGAATATGCAAAAAAAATCCTGGCTCTCAGCTCATCTACTGTAGGCTATTCTTGTGACAAGTGCCACACTGCAAAGCGCCTGCTTCAGTGAGGTCACTACAGTCTCCAGGCCAAGAGGAACCGCTCTGTTCCAACGAGCAGGAGAGTCGCTTCTCTCCAGCAGAGGATTTCGGGAGACTGTGGGTTCTGCGAATGTTCAGGCTTGCCCATCCACATGTCTCCATTAGACATCGCAAGGTCCAAATCACTGCCTATCAGAGCCCTGATTGGACATAAGACGGCGATGTAGCTGCGTGTTTAGAATCCTTTTTAGCTCTGCCACGCTCACAGTCAGATCCTGGGCTTAATTTTCAGGATAGTCTGTCTTGGATCACAAGAGCATCCTTAAAGCTTTCACGAAGCGTGCCCTAAGTTGGCAGCGGGCTTCCCTGAGCCTGCCATCTGCAAGGCTGCTGATACTGCCAGGAGGCTCCCAACCTCACCATCCGTAGGCTTACCGTCTCCCCCACTTAACCCCATTCCAGGGTTCTGTTACGTACACCCCACTCCCGTTAGCTGCAGGCGAAGCTTTAGAAATTATGTCAGAGTGTGCATTGTGGCACAGCGCGTTGAGATGCTGCCTGTGACGCCGGCGTCCCATATGGGCTCAGGTTCGAGTCCCGGTGGCTCTACTTCTAATTCAGCTCTCTGCTAAGGGACTGGGAAAGCAGAGGAAGATGGCTCAAGTGCTTGGGCCTCTGCCAACTATGTGGGAGACCTGGATGAAGCTCCTGGCTCCTGGCTTCATTCTGGTCCAGCCCCGGCTGTTGTGGTCATTTGGGGGAGTGAACCAGCGGGTGGAAGACCTCTCTCTCTCTCTCTCTCTGCCAGCACTGTGGTGCAGTCGGTTAAACAGTAGCCTGAGTGCTGAGTGGGTGTTGTTTCAAGTCCCTGATAGTGCGCCTGGGAAAGCAGTGCATCCACATGGGAGACCTGGAAGAAGCTCCTGGCTCCTGGCTTCACAGATGAGTCCTGGCCATTGTGACCATTTGGGGAGGGAACCAGCAGATGGAAGATTCTCTCTCCCTCTCCCTGTCTCTCTCTCTCTCTCTCTCTCTCTCTCTCTCTCCCTCTCTTCTCCCTCTCTTCTCCCTCTCCCTTCCTTCTCCCTCTCTCTCTCCCCCTTTCTCTATATATAACTTTTTCAAATAAAAACTAAATAAATCTTTTTTAAAAAATGATCTCTTCTCTCTGTAAGTCTGCCTTTTAAATAAATAAGTAAAGGTTTAAGAAGAAGTTGCAACGTCACTTTTGCCAGATACAGTCCTGTTCACTGTCACACAGAAGTGGGTCCCTATTGCTTACAGATGGAAAACCCGACTCCAATGTCCCACACTGAAGTTCTGCTTTTCAGAACCACTGTGGTACCTGCTGTCCCTGTCCCTCGGGAGACAGAGCCCGCAGCACGCGCGGCTTGCTGACGCGTCACCCAGGCATGCGATCCTAGCACAGCAAAGGGGAGAGGCCAGGGGAGTGAAGCAGGGAGCAAGGGCAGCAAGCGCAAGACCGAGCATCACCGGGCTGGCCCTATCTTCTGAAGGAAGCATGTCCAGTCGCTCAGCGCGCCCGCTGGCTGCCTCCTGACAGCCACAGGGAATCTTGCAATCCCCTTCCCAGACCCCGCGCTCCTCATCCTGCGTCATTCATCGTTTTCCTGCTGGTTGAACTGCCCCGCATTTCTGAGTAGAGGCACCTGCAGGACCCCACGTGCCCTGGTGTCCTGAGTCCAGGCAGGGGGAGGGGAGCCATGACCTCCCTTGGTCCTGCTATGGCTTGAGTGACAGTCCAGTCTTCACCCCAAGGGAGGCTTGATGTTCCACAGTATCACAAGGGCACAGAACATGTGGGGCCCGCGCGACCCTTGAGCGTGGATTGGGTCTGGCACAGGGACCCTGCAGGGCAGATGGACGATGCAGGCTTTCCCATGTACAGAACCTGCCCGGCCTCTCCCAGCCTTGAATTTGTCTTTTTTTTTTTTTTGGGGGGGGGGGGGCAGGTGCTTCTGAATCTATCTCAATCCCAGGGGAGTGGCTGTGTGATTCAGGCTAAGCCATAAACATCTCTGAACTTGGCAAATCGGGCAATTATGTTTATCGCAGCGTCGTGAGCGTGGAACTGAAAGGTGACAGAAAGAACATTTATAAGTGACAAAGTGCTCCGAGCATAAACATCGGGCGGGGGCTGCTGAAGTCGTGCACTGAGCGAAGCACGCGCAGCGGCTCCCCCCGCACAGGCAGCCAGCACCCAGGGCTCCTGTGCCCTCAGCCGGCTCAAGTTCACACGTCATTCCCTGGCTTCAAACTGTCCAAGTCAGCCAGGAAGCTCCTCCCCAGCCTCCTCCTCTGACAATGGGCTGAGGCCACATGTGATGTGGCCACCCAGCATCCAGTACTCCGTCTGGACTCACAGGCACGGAGCAAATGAACAAGCATTTGCATATTTTTGCCCAAGGAGCAACCAAAACCTACACCCTGCAGCTCCCCTTGGCCTGGAGGGTTTCACTCCCCTCTCTCCAGTCTGCAATCCTCCGGCCTGCCTGCCCTGTCTGGAGCGACCCCTCGCTGTCTGCCCTGCCAGGGACAGCGGGACCCTCTCCGTGGGCAGCCAAGGCCCCAGCAGTTTGTGCCCCGCCTCTCCCTAGTTGAGGCTGAGGTGCGGGTTTGCAGAGGCTGGGTACCGATGAGCCGCGCTCAGCCCTGGGGCAGGGCAGGACCGAGTTGCCGCCGCCCAAGAGGAGCGGCCAGGTGCCTGCAGGAGCAACTTGAGAGATGGAATCCACCGTTTCCCCAGGACGACTTGTTGATAATCTCTCCCCCGCCCGCGCCTTCTACAGACGGGCGGGGAGAGGCAGTGCCAGAAGGATTCTTCCCCAGAGAGACGCAGTCGAAGGCTGGCTGGCGGGGAGACCCCCCTGCAGGGCCGCAAACTCGAGGGCCAGGCACTTGACCCCGGGCAAGGTGGCCTGCACCTGCTAGCTCGGCACCCGGGGAAAAGGGGTCTCAAAAAATCACTGCTCCCGGGAGAACAGGCAACCGAGGAGCGAGACCCCCGAGCGCCGGGACTCCTGGGCCTCCGGGGGAATGAATAAATTATTAAGCGCCCAATACACAATAGCCTCGCTAGATGGAGACGAGGAATCACTGCGGCGGCGGCGGCGGCGGCGGGGAGCGCGGGCGGGCAGCGCAGTCTCGGGCGGGAGGCGGGCGAGGCGCTGGCTCAGCTTCACGTCTGTTGGCCCTTTTTCGTGCATTATTGATTTCGCCTCCGCCCGCGGCCCTGCTGCCCCCGCCGGCGCTCGGGGGCCCGCGCCTCCGGCCCGCTGCGTGAAAGGCGCGGAGAGCCGGGGCACCCCCGCTCCCCGGCCAGCCGCGCGGCGCCACCGGGAAGGGCGGGGACCCGGGCGGCGCGGGGAGGGTTCGCGCGGCCGGCTCCAGGCGGCTCGGGGGAGACTTTACCCGCCCTCCGCCTCCGCCTCGGCCGCCCGCCCCGGCCCTGGGCGCAGGGTGCCGCCCCGCGCGCGGCCAGGCGCAGCCCGGAGCCGCCGCGCCCTGCGTCCCGAGCGAGCGCGCGGCGCCCGGGTCCCCGGCTCGGCCGCCCCGGAGGCCCAAGCGGCGCGCAAACTTTTGCTCCAGTGCTCGGCGCTCCTCCCCAGCATGTGAAGCCCCCGGGCGTCCGCGCAGCCGCCAGGGTGAGGACCGAGGCCCCGCCTAGAGGGCGGGGGGACAGGGGAGGCGGCGGGCTTTAAATGGGGGCCGTCCGGCGGCTAAACGGAGCTGCCGCGGGGGGAGCGCGGATCTCCCTTCTCCGCGCCGGGGATCTGCCGGGGCCGCAGCCCGCCAAGGTGGCGTGAGGCACTGGAGGGGGTGCGGGCTGGGAGGAGGGGGAGAGCGGGTCTCGGGGGCCGGGAAGCCGGGGGCGCGCGGAGGTTGCAAGTGTTGCATTGTGCGCAGTGAGGCCGGCGGGGCAGAGAGGGTGCACGCAGCGGGCGATTTCGCGGTGCGGTGTAGGCAGGAGTCGGTGGGTGTGCACGGGAGCCCGTGGGTGGTGCACGATGCTGTGAGTGTGCGCGCAGGGTGAGCGGCGCCCGCCGGATTTGAAGTGTGCTCGCCGTGAGAGCGAGTTGTGTACGGCGATTTCTGAGGGGTGCCCGGGGCTCGGTGAGTGTACTCAGGGGCCAGGGTGCGCTCGCTGGCTGCCGGCCGTGTGCCTAGAACGGGGTGTGAGTGCTGGGCTGGACGCTAGGCCAGCGAGTGTGCAAGCTGGAGCAAAGGCGCCCGCCTGATTGACGAGGGTGCCCAGGGGTGCGGGGCGTGCCCGCTGCCCCGGGCTGGTGCGTGCGCTGGGGCGCGGCGGCGATGGTGCCCGCCTGACCCGAGCCTTGCTCCCCTGACAGTTGGCCCCTCGAGCGGGGCTGCGGCCGCCGAGATGCTGCTCCGGGACCTGGTGCTGCGCCGTGGCTGCTGCTGGCCCTCGCTGCTGCTGCACTGCGCGCTCCACCCGCTCTGGGGCTTCGTGCAGGTGAGCAGAGAAGCGCCCGGGCTGGGACCCTGCGGGCAGGGGCTGCGGGGCTGGGGCGGGGAGGTGGCACTTGGCTCCTGACACCCCTGTAGCTTCCCACAGCCACCCCACCCTGGGGAGAGTTTAAGAAAAGGAAGTCTGCCCGGGTCCTTCCCAGCTGGCCCTGAGAAGGTAAACTCCAGGTGAGACCTCGGCTGTGGCCCAAGGCCCTCAGGACTGGGCTTGGGTACAAAGGGGCCACCAGGGCCCAGACAGGGGGGAAGGAAATGAGCCTGAAACGGACAGTGCTCCGGAATATACATTCTTTATTTCCTACCACAACCACCGGCCAGCTTGCCAGGAACCTTCCCCAGGGCTGTGCGAAAGCCAGAGCTGTGTTGCCTGCAGGTGGTGGAGTTGGGGCGTGCACAGACGATGGGTGTGGGCCACTCATGGGGGACGTGAGAAGGCACCGTCCGCATGTCCAGACGGCCCGAGGATGCATCCCTCACCCTTGGTTCTCTGGGCACCAGAGTAGAGGCCAGGGAGTACCCCCCACTGCCGCCGCCCATGCAGTCAGAGAGGGGCTTCCATGTCTGCCCCTTCCTAGCTGGGCCTTGCAGGGTAACGATTCTGAGCCTGGTTTGTTCTTCCTGATGGTGCTGTTAGCAGTACTGATGGGAGAAAGCAAGATTCCTAGCGCAGGGCCTGGGCCGTAAGAAACAGGAAGCGGGAGCTGTTGCTGCCACTGGCAATGTAGCTAAGGGTAGCGCGGCTCTCCTCTCTCTGGCCTGCCACGTGGTTCTGGCCATCGCCCTGGAGGCTGATGGGCATTTGTGACTGGCCGGGGGTCCCGAAGGCTCTGGGGCACTGTTCGACTGTGGAGGGCATTGAAGGACCCACCCTGGGGTGTGTGCAGCTTGTGTCCTCCTGTCCCAGGGGCACTTTGGGAACTGGGAACGCTTCGGGTGGGTGCCCTAAGGGTGACAGGCTGCGCGCCAGCCTGCTGTGCCTTGGGAGCTGACCCACAGGATGGGGCCCTGCTGGGGACTGGCTGGGTCGCTGCTGCCGGACGCTGGCCTGGGTACCCTCCCCCCGCACCCCCAGAGAACAAGGGGCTCTGAGCTGGCTGGCACCTCCAGCCCCACCCCAGCGCCAGGCCCCGTCTTCTGCTGTCTCCTCTGACTGGCCTCTGTCTCACTCACAATTGTTTCCCTTTTGGAATTGACAGCTTTGTTGAATGTGCGGAACAGCAGCTATGACAGTCAGCTGTGACTCCTCAGGACTGTGTCCCTTCTGCACACTCCAGGGGCTTGGGACGGGCGTCCCTTGTTGGACTTTTGGCTGACCTTCTGATGGGAAGTTGACAGAGGGTTTCTGGTGTTCGCTTGCTCAGTTTCCTGTCTTCTGGAAGACTTTTCCTGCTAGGGTGGAGATCAGTGTGATGATGTTGGCAGTCCCGAGACAAGAATTCTGCTGGATGAACCAGCAGGATTGAAACAGAAAACCCAGTCCCACCTGTACCCTTCTCTCCCCCAAAGAAACAATTTTATAGGAAGCAGCTCCAGGTTTTACAGCCTGGTCCATCAGCCAGGCGGTGCTTGCATGAGCAGCTCCGTGTGTGTGTGTGTGTGTGTGTGTGTGTGAGAGAGAGAGAGAGAGAGGGAGAGAGAGGGAGAGAGAGATGTTCTTACTCAACTCAAATCAATTTTCATGAAAATCAATTAGGAAAGGAATCCTCCAGACAACTGGGATGGTAAAATCTTGGCTTGAGGCTCTGGAAAAATTAATTTACAAATGACAGGGACAGAGAAACCACGGGAAGAGGGGCTTTGGAATGAATGGATTGAGCTTCGAAGCCAAAAGGCTGACTGCAGGGGAACAGAGGAGGGAAGACGCGATGTGGAAGTCCATGAGGCCACGCGTTTCCCTTTAAGTGGTGAGACTAAGACCTGTCCCTTCGTGGGCGTCTGTGCCCCCGTGAAGGTTTTTCTGACAGAGTCCCCAGAGAGGGGCGAGGGGCCGATGTGCCCGTCCCCTGAGGAACGGGGCCCCTGAGGAGTCAGGAGCTGGGAAGTCCCCCAAAGTCCCAGCTTCCCCCCTGGAATTCGGCCAAAGCTGCTGGATGCTCAGGAAGCCCCTGGTTCAAGTCCGAGGCCACTTCGGCGGCCGGCGGCGGGCCAGAGGCACACCATCGCCTGCTCCCGGGCTCTTTAATGCCTCTGGAGCCGAGCTTCTGAGCTTGGTGATTTAGGGTTCTTCTGAGTTCACTTCCAAATGATGTTTTTTTCTTGGCAAGGGAAGAAGATGACAGGCTGGCAGATTGATTGGGTGTGACAGCAGTGTGTCTCGGCGAGTTACCGTGGTGCTGGCCAAACTCCTCAAAAGATGCCAGAAGCCATCGCTGCTGCGGTCGCTCTCCTAAAGCCATTGTCAGGGAGACAGGCGGTGACCTGGCCTCCCCAGTCCCTGCACTAAGCAGGAGCTACCCGGGCCCAAGCCATGCTGAACCCCTTCTGTGGTCGGTCAGCAGCATTTATTGGGCACCCGCTGTATACCTGGCCCTGTGTTTGGTGCAAATGGCTCAGTGGTCCCTGCCGTCGTGGTGCTGTGAGGTCAAGCAAGGGATCTTAGGCAGCGGAGCTCAGTGGGGGCAAATAGCATGGGCCTGGTGCCAGAGTGACTCAGGGGGAGGAGTCAGGATGCAGATGAGGCTGAGGGAGCAGGCCCAGGGATGGCACCGAAGGGAGAGGAGGGGGAAAGCCTGGGGAGGTGAGGCCCTGACAGTGTCTCACTGCACGTGATCCTGAGGACTTAGAGCAGGAGACGACAGGGTCTGAGCCCAGCTCCAGCACCAAGGGGAGGGGAGGGGAGGGCAGCCGGGCTCAGCCGGTGAATGCAGAGATGTGCAACCAAACGGGAGCTTCCGGTGAGCCAGGACAGCTTCTAGCATCTTCCGTGTGGCCTTTGGGATGGGCACATTGTTGTCTGTCTGAGACTCCAGGGGTCCTGCGTTTCCGCTGGCAGCCCCAGTGAGAGGCAAGTGCTGCCCAGTGGGGGTCTCGTGGTGGCCTGGCTGGGGCGGCAGCAGAGGGGCTGGAGGAAATTGGGCAAAAGCGAAGGTTGTGGCCGCAGCATCCACCAGACCTGCAGGTTGCGCTTGCTGGCCAGGAGTGGGCCAGGGGCTGGGGAAGGGGGTATGAGGCTGGCACACGGCAACCATGCAGCCGGGCCCCCCAGGCCACAACAGGTGGCGAGGCTGTGGGTCTGCAGCAGCACGCTGGGCCTCGGTGCACTGGTCACAGCGATTGCAGGACTCAGACCCATGAGGGCGCCGTAGCGTGCGGGCAAGAGGGTGGGCAGCTGGAGTGAGGAGGGGTCCTGGGCGTGACCACAGCCGCTCTCAGCCTGTGAGTGGTTGGCGAGTCGCTGACCTCTCTGTGCCTCTGCTCCTTTTCAGACAAGACCAGCTGAGTGCCGGTGACACAGGGGTGACATCCTTCTCCTTGTAGACTCCCCGAGACAGAGACCACGCAAGCTGGGTGCCGATGGGCGCTCAGCCCCTGCTGGTCTGAACACAGCGCCGCCGCTCAGCAGAGCCCCAAGTGGCCCTGGGCTTGGGGCCCCGGGTAGATCCTGCAGGTCCCCCCGCCCTGGTAGGCAGACCAACCCCCAGTACACTTCTCAGTGGGCACCGAGGCTACCGGCACTCTGGGGCATGAGCCTGGCGTTTCACCCCGAGTGTGGGCGCCACTCGCCTCCCTCAGCTGTTCCCACAGCTGACACTCGCCAGGGGCCGGGAAGTCATGGCTGCTTGGGATCCACACAGCACAGACTCACTCCTGCCCCACCCCGAGACGCCTACAGCATGGCGTGGAGATGGGTGTCACCCCAGAGCAGGAAGGGTGTGCCAGGCGAGGAAGCGGCACCGGGCTGGTAGGGCTCATCTCGGGGGGCATGGGGTGCTGCCTGGCTTTGCCCCAGGTTGTGCGAGAGTGGGGTTTGAAGCATGAAGAGATGTTGGCAGGTGAATGGATGAGGGGCTCAGTGGCTGACTGTCACTCGTGGGAGGCTCCGTGGCCCCAGGATTGTGTGGGACCAAGTGGTCAGGCCCCTGCGCCGTGGCTGCCCTCGGGGAGGGGGCAGGCAGCTCAGAGCTGGCCTCAACGAGGACAGGGATGGAGCCATTTGCCTGTCCCCATCGGGGTGAGGCCCTCACGCACCTGGCTCCTTCTGCTGCTCCTCCTGCAGCTTGAAACTTGGCGTCACTACGTCACCGACAGCCACTCAAAACAGCAGCTCACAGTTTAGCCAGCACAGCACGCCCCTGTCTTTGAACTCTCTGAGTTGCACCTTGGAGGGGGTAAGAGGCGTGGCCTCGGCTGTGGCCTGGCGTGCAGTCAGGATACTTGGTGGCGTGCAGGGCGAGGCAGGCTCAGAGGCCAGCTCTCGGGAGCACGGAGCCACCCCGCAGCCCCCAGGGTCTCGAGCAGTGGCAATCCAGCGGGGGACGGGCTCGGTGCTGGGAACGCTGAGGACGGCACTGGCAGAGAAGAGGGTGGGCTCAGCCCGACGTGGAAGGAGTTAATCTGCTCGCTAAAATAATCGAGAGAGGGCTCCCTGTGGGAGGAGAGGCTCTTCCCAGTGGGAGATAAAATTGCCTTCCAGGATCTGAGACACAGTCGATGGTCCTCTAACAACACTAAATGCTGCCCAGCAGGAGTGTCCTGGCCTCCCAGTATTAAGTTCAGGCAGCCCACCTGCCCCCGTGGCCGTGACCCAGCGCCTGCTGACCCGCCACCTGCGAGGTGGCCAGCTCGGCCCCGCCTCCAGAGGCAGGCTGCACATGGGAAGTTGCGGGTCTGGGGGGTCTACTCCGTCGTGGTTGACAGACAGCCAGAGAAAGTAACCGTGGCCACCCTAGGTGGGGGCTGACCAGCAGCTCGCTCTGTGTACCTCAAATCAGCTCAGGCCCCGGGACAAGCACAGACCCTGACGCGGCAGGCGGGCAGGGATGCGGGCAGTGTACCCAGCGCTCCCCCACCTGCCCCTCGTAGATCTGGAACCTGGGCAGCTCCAGCTCCCAGGCCCGGCTTCCCCGGCAGCCAGGGTTGGGGAACTGCCGGGCGGGCACAGCCACCTGCAGCCACCCGGCCAAGCTCACGGACAAGGACACTGAGACCAGGCTTTCAACGCAGCAGGCCAGGGAGCAAGAGGCGCGCATGCTGCCCTGGATTGCGGCATGCTTGCCTGCACTCGGCAGGCACTGACCGAATGCTAGCGCTGCCTTGGGAGCTGGTTTATAATAATGGGGGTGGGCCGGGGCACTGGCCCCTGCTCTCATACACCTTACAGGGCTGCTTCCAAACGTTCATGAAAATGGAGTAAAACGGTGTTTGTGTTGGTGCAAAAAATATTTGGAATCCTTGCAGAAAGATCATGGGGAACGCGTATCATGGAGAACACTGTGCTTGTATCTTTTGAACCAAAATGCACTTGCTTTTAAGTTCCATTTTCCACGAACTTTTTGAAGTCCCCTCGTAGAATGCCCAGGTGAAGACAGGTGGGCAGCAGGCAGTCACCCACAGGTGACCCCACTGCCAGGCCTGGTGCCTGGTCAGGGAGGTGGGGAGCTTCCTGGAGCAGGTGAGAGCTGTGCTGAGTAACAGGCAGAGAAGGGGGCTGGGCGGGAGACCATGCTGGCCCCAAGGGCCGGGGCCCAGCAGGGCGGGGCTGAGAGGTCGCTGGGAGTCAGGTCCAGCAGCGCCTCGTGGGTCATTCGGTCCCAGGGCAGTGTGGATGTGCACCTGGGGCTTGTGGGGGTAGGGATGGTTGGAGGAGCGCTCCCCACATGACCGCCCAGAGGCTGATGGAGAGCACCAGGCAGGCTGCTCTGTTCCCTTTAGAGGCCTGGCCGGGTGAGGGTCCTCCCCGGGAAGGGAGGGCCCTGCCCCAGGTGGACACGAGAAGATGAGGACTGGACAGTGTGCTGAAGCGAGGGAGATGGGGGTGGCAGCTGGGTCGGGCTGCCGAGGAGGTGGGATCGTGCCCTGGCACTGAGAGTGGCACCCTCGAGCAGCCACGGTGCCTGGTTCTCGGCTTCCTCGCTTGCGCGGTAGGGGGATTCCGCAAGGTGGCCTGCCCGTTCTTGTCTACCCCTCCCTCACAGCCAGGTACTTGCCCAGGGCCCTGTAGCTGGTCCCCAGCAGAGCTGGCCAGCCCAGCTTCCGTGGGTCCCTCCTGCCCCGGCTTTGGGGAGGCATCCCAGGTTCCAGTCCCTGGGGAACTGCAGTGGGGCGGGCCCATCTCGGCTTCCCATTGCTTCCTGTCTCCTACATCTCTCTGTGTGCTCCTCTCCGCAGGTGACGCACGGTGAGCCCCAGAAGTCCTGCTCCAAGGTGACGGACAGCTGCCAACACATCTGCCAGTGCCGGCCCCCTCCCCCGCTGCCCCCGCCGCCCCCGCCCCCGCCGCCTCCCAGACTGCTCTCTGCCCCAGGTAGGTGGTGATGGCTGTCTCTGTTTTCGGGTTTCTCTCTGTGTTTTCCTGGGTCCAGGAGGATCCGGTGAGCGAGGCCGAGGGCAGCCCGGCCTCCTTTGTAATTTTCCACTGGCCGAGCAGGAGGGAAGCCAAGGCTGAACTTTTCCCTGCAGTCTGCAAAATGCCTTTCCCACAGAAGGCTCCTGCGAGATGGAGAAGGATGCTGTCCGTCAGTTAATCAGATAAAACTCAATCTCCATCTGATGAGTGACCGGCCTGCATTGTTTGGAAGGCCAGAGCTTCACTGGGAGGCAGGCGCTGGGTACCGTCTCCAACACCCGCCCGCCCACCCCCCACACACACACACAGAGTTTTGTTTTTCAGTTTTAATTCATGTTTAAAGAAGCAGCGAGGATAGAACCAAAGCCAAGGCTATGGGAGCAAAGTTACCCAGACGCCTTTTCGCTTTTGCACACGATTCTCCCAAGACGTCTCTGAGACACGTTTCGTCTCGGGACCATTGGCTCTCTGAACCATCTGATGGTCTGGTCACTCAAACAAAGGAGCGTTTCTCTAGCCAGAAACGGCCTTGGCCTTGACCTCTGTGTGGCTGAGTTTCCTGCGTGCGGTTGCCGGCTGCTACGGGAGATTCCATAGGTTAGATTCATCACTCGGGGTTTGGCTGCAGAATGCCCGCGTCGGCCCGCGTCTGCCTCATTAGACACATGTCTGTGGAAGTATTTGGGGCGTATCTTCAGTAACCTTGGCGAGGCCACGCTCCGCTCGGCTGTTTTGTACCCAGCAGCTTTGCAGTCTTCCAGGGCATCTTTGCGGTCTGCATGCATTGCTGCCCTCGGATGCCAGGCGCCACCTGTCTCCCTCCGCACCTGGCACCTGGGACCCACTGTGGCCCCCAGACTGCCTGCTTCAGCATTACCTGTGGCGTTTGTTTTCGGGGGTTCACTGCAAACTCCCCGAGTGAGATTGGTCGGGGTGGGGGCGGGGTGCTCATGAGTCATCGTGGGAAGTTGCAAAGTGGCTGACTGTGCCTGCCAGGTCCTCTGCTCCGCCTCTGCCGGACCCCTCTGCCCCAGGACACTCGCTGCGGGCGCCTACCCTACTGAAGGAGCCCCTGGGCCTGCACCCAGCCCTGGAGCTCACTCCCTTCCTTCCCTCCCTCCCCTCCCTCTCTCTCGGGGCCCCAGGCCTGGGCCGTCTGCACCTGTGCTTGTACCTGGGGGATCCACACCCCCAGCAAGGGTCCCTTCCGTTTGTCTTGTGTCAGCAAGTTCTGTGCCAGACCCGGGTACAGGTCTGTTCTGCCCCTGTTGGATAGCTCAGCCCGCAGCGGGGCTGTCTGGTTGTAACCCATGGCAAGTGGGCAAGAGAAGGCAGAAACTGTTTACCAGACACACTGCAAATTCCCAATTAGTTATGCAAAACTAAGCCCCAGTAAATGGTAACATTGGCCTGGGTCTTAAGAACACATGGAATCGCTCCAGGTTGGAATCTTATGAACCAGACTGCGGGGATGGGGCAGCCAAGCCAAGGGCACAGCACGCAGGAAGACAGAACGGAGCCCTCCGGGGTGGTCTCAGTCCACTTCCTGTCGCTGCAGCAGAGCACCTGAGGATGGCTGGTTTGTAAAGGAAAGAGGGTGACTTGCGCTAGGGTCCCTGAGGTTGGCAGCCGGGTGTTGGAGCCTCGTGCTGCGTCCTGATGTGGCAGGAAAGACAGGCAGGCGATTGTGTGAGAGAGGGCAGCAGAGGGGTCGGCACAACCCACTCTTGCGGCCGGGAGTCCATCCCCGTGAGAACTCACCCCGTCTCTCAGGAAAGACATTAACCTCCCTCTCTGCCGCTGCACCTCCCGTCACCGCACAGGCAACCCGATTTCAACAGGAGCTTTGACCGGGACAACCACAGGCGCACCAGAGCGGGGTCTCTAGGGGCGGCCGAGGCGCAGGCCTTGAGAGAGCCATGTGCCTGACCGAGTAGGTCTCACGCACCCTGTGGGTCCCTCCACACCCAGAGCCACCTCCCAGCTGCCTTATTTTTTTCCTTAAATAGACGCGCATTTTTGCTGGTACAAATTTATTTCTAAACAAAGAAACCAGTGTTACTCGCACAGGTAGGTGACCATAAAAGTATAAGGCTGATGGAGGGGCTGGCACTGTGGCATAGCACGTAAAGCCGCTGCCGGCAGTGCCGGCATCCCATATGGATGCCAGTTCAAGTCCCGGCTGCTCCACTTCCAATCCAGTTCTCTGCTATGGCCTGGGAAAGCAGTAGAAGATGGCCCAAGTGCTTGGGCCCCTGTGCCCGCGTGGGAGAGCTGGAGGGAGCTCCTGGCTCCTGGCTTCAGATCTAGGACTGGGAGCCCAGCCTGTTGTGGGAGGCTCTAAGCTCGCGGGCTGGCTTTGGGTAACAGGGAGAGAAGCAGGTGGCAGAGGAGTTAAGGCCCTGGAAGCACCATGCTGAGACTTTCTCTACAATCGCACGCTTTGTGAGAGACCCAGAGGGGCTCATTTCTTGTCATAGGTTTCCATGTGTTTGAGTGCCAGGCTCCTTAACCACGGAGACATGGGCCCCCCCTTTCCGAAGCCCTGCCGTGGGCAGTGACGACCCCAAGAAGGTGGCAAAGCAGGGAAGCGGTGACCTTGCCTTGTCTGTTTCGGAGAAATTAATTTTTTTTGACAGCGCAGTGTGTATTAGGATGGAGCTGCCAGCCCCGGACTGGAGTCAAGTTGAGGACTGCCGAGAGGGCTCTACAGCCGGGCCAGGGCCCCAGAGGGGGGAGGCCACTGAGGCTTCGTGTAGCTGAGCTCCGGGCTTGCGCTGCCTCTGGGAGAGAGGCAAGCTGTGGGTGGTGCCACGGAAGGGATTTTTCCATTACAAGCAGCAGAAAGGCATCTTGGAGGGGATTAAGTGATATAAAATATAGGAGGAGAAATGTTAGTCTGTGTCTCGGGTGTCAGGATGTTCCCGCCGCAGGCCTGCGGGACCCCAGGTCTCCGCGCAGGGGGAGTTCTGCCTCCCCGTTTCTCTCCTGCCTTTTCCTGGAGAGCCCCTGCTCTCAGGCCGGCTGGCTCCCTGTGGCTCCTACTCCAGAATTCTACCCACTTTTTTTTCTTTTAAATATTTATTAATTTACTTGAAAGGCAGAATTACAGAGGGGCAGAGGTAGAGAGAGACAGAGACAGACAGAGAGAGAGAGAGAGAGAGAGAGAGAGAGGAGGTCTTCCATCCACTGGTTCACTCCCCAATTGGCCCTAACGGCCAGAGCTGCGCGGATCCAAAGCCAGGAGCCAGGAGCTTCCTCCAGGTCTCCCACAATGGCACAGGGGCCCAAGGACCTGGGCCATCTTCTACTGCTTTCCCAGGCTATAGCAGAGAGCTGGATTGGAGGTGGAGCAGTCAGGACTTGAACCGGCGCCATATGGGATGCTGGCACTGCAGGCTGTGGCTTTACCTGCTACTCCACAGCACTGGCTCCTCCATCAGCCTCACATTCAGCAATCTCCCTCGAAAGACAGTTTCTCTTCCCCCAGAGTGCAGTAAAATCCAGGGACTGACTTTCTCGGGACCAGCTTGGGCCACATGTCCTTTCCTGGACCAATCACGCTGGCCTCTGGGATGGCCAATGGTGCTCAGTCAGGCCCTGGAGTTAGTGCGTGTGGACGCAGGTTAGGGGAGTCAGCACGTGCAAGTGAAAGCCCAGGCAGAGGGCCTGTGCCCCAAGGGTGAGGACGTGGACCTGAGGCTGGGGGGTGGGGATGCGGCCACAGCACAGGTCAGACGTGGGAGGCAGATGAGACAGTGCAGGGAATGTGTTTTCTGTTTCTCTTGGTCCTCCTGGAGCCTAGCCCAGATCCCTGCACACAAGTAGTGCCCAGTAAATGTCAAAGCCATGGCCACGTCCACAGCTTCTGCCAACTGTAAGATGCAGATGCCTGTTCTGCAGTCCGGGAAGAATCGGCGTCTCCCAGAGGGCAGGAGGCCCCGCGCTGGGAAGTTGTCATCTCTCGGAGCTCGCTGGCGTTCAGAGCAGTCACTCAGGGCCCTGTGCAGCGCCTGCGAGTGTGTCTGGATCTGCACACCAGGGGTGGGGTGTGTGCCAGGGGCTGGGGAGCCCGCAGTGGGCACCAGAGACAGCCCCTGTCCCCACAGAGCGTATAGACAGCCCAGTGGCTGGGGCCCCAGGAGTGGCCTTGCTGCCACCTCCCTGGACATTCTGGCACCAGGCACAGCCGTCTTACAGGTTGCGCCTCATATCCCTGGCACCGTCAAGGATCCCGCCCTCTCCTGGGGACGCTTGCCGAGCCCCTGTCCCACGCCCAGCCCGGTATTGGCGCCTGCAGGGATACAGAGGCACACAGGGACTTGTCCGCATTGGCAGGGGCTGGGTCCCGGGAGACTGCGGCCACGGCGGCCACGGCACCAGAGCCGATGCCATGAGCCCAGGTGGTGGGCCAGCCCCGCCCCTCCCTCCCTGTGGCTCTAAGAGGGCCGGCCGACTTCAGCTTCAGCTTCTTCCTCTTCCAGTAGCTCTGTGGGCGACACCGCCCCAGGGATGGGGTGCAGGATTCCCCTAAGCGAGAAGGTGGCTGATCCTCGCTCCTGTCCCTCGGCCCGTCCGTGCCAGCCAGAGCGGAGGTAGAAAGTGCTGGGGAGGATACCTGATTCCAGACGGGACGTGCAGGATCCCAAAGGAGCGTTCCTGTAGCCAGGGATGACTTCAACCCCGGCCCCTCCTCTCCGCGGCTATGTTCCTTGTTGATGGTTGCGGGCAGATAAAGCCTCCGAAAGGAGATTTTGTACACGGGAGTCTTCAAAAAGTTCCTGGAAAATGTGATTTCTGGACAGATTTAAAAATTGCTCTTGCGATAAGAGAAACTTAGCTTTTCATTCATTTTCCAGGAACCTTTTGGGGCAGCCATCGGTCACTCCTGTAGAATGCCATGGTCATGTCTGGGTCCATGAAACCCTGCAGGGAGCAAGGGCTCGCGTGGGGTGGGG